TATAATAAAATAAACAAAGATATTTATATATACGACAAAACATATCACAACTGTAAAAAACTTTTGTTAGAATGGATTCATCATAAGACATATGACGGAATTGAGAAGCTACTGGATTGTGTAGCATGATTTGTTCAGATTCAGACACTGTAATCACACATACTCTTTTTAACTCACGCAACCATAGACACAAACACACACACACACGTAATAGAATTAATATAGAATTTAAGTAATATATAACATTAATATGGATATAGAATATGTTTCTCCATACTGCCTTGTAACATGGATATAGTAATGGAAGGGCGGACCCTCCAAACACAGGCATTATTTGCTTAAATGGAGGTTCCAATCTACTAGTTTTTAAGGCATTTACTTTTTAAAAACGAAATAAAATTTATTTATTTATTTAAGCATAGCTTGCTTATGTATCCTCTAATTAGAATATGCATTACAAACCAAAAAAAAAAAATAATCGAAACACAACTTTTCACTTATGGTGACACCGTTGGTTATCCTTTGGGTATGGAACCCTGAAAAGAACATACAGTCGAATTGAGTACCTCCTCCTTTTTGAAGTCGGTAGAAAAATAAAAAACTGTGGTTGCCAAGCGTGGCAACTAAGGCAAAAATATTCCACCTATGAGGCGATCTATGGGGGAGACCTATGTCCAGCAGTGGACTGGTTTATATTACACTGGATTATACAGGGTTATTTTTCAGAGTAGCCAAATTTTAAACTTAAGTTCAAATATATAAATAACGATATACCTATATTGCAGTTTTTGAAAATACCAGTAAATAAGGTTTCTACTTTTATTTGAATTTATCCCAAATTGAATGTAATTTATGGGCAACAACGTTTTTGCCTACCGATAGACCCTTACGAATGTGTGCGTGCGCTGTAAAATCAGTTAAAATAATGCATGACCACGCATTTTGAATTTAAAAGATAAAAAGGCATGTTTAATGTTATTAATATTTAAGATTTTTTTTTAATTAATTCTTCTTCACCATTTGCCTATATTACTTATTGTGAACATTCTCTGCAAATTTGGCCGGTTTTTGCAAAATAACCCTGTGTAACAAATAGCTAACGGTCGGCGGGTGTTCACCCCTTTGTTGTCGATATTCCACGCATTAGAACCAAACGGTCCGCTTCGTCTTTTGTAATGCACACAGCAAAGGAGTGGAATAATTCGCCGGCGTTTGTCTTTCCGCCCGAATACCTACAATCTGGGCGTCTTCAAGGTTCAAGGCAAGAGTGAATAGGCTTTTGTTAAGGGGCTACTCCATGCGAACGACCTTGAGCATTTGACCGGCGCGCCGTTCGCTACAATATTAATATATTGTAGCGAGCGGCTCGCCGGAAGAAATATGTAAGACGCCACCTATTGTACGAAAGTAGTATTATTTTTTCAACATCAATAAACTATTTTATGCAAATATACACATAGCGTACAAAGATAAATGTATTTTAATTTTTTTATTCTGTATATATTAGTTGCATTATATTAGAATTATGTATTTTCATATATTATCTAATTATGAAATTTTATAATTAATTATATAAACGGAAGCATTGAAAATTGTGAGTTTAAAAGATACCTATTCACTATAGGTAAATAAATAGATAACTCGGCTTTTGTACAAATATTTGGTGCAATAAAAAATATATAAATACAAAAATCAACAAGAAGTATAAGGGTTCAATCTTTCAATTTCAGTTGTAAAAAAACGTTACACCCACACTAGGATTTTCTCCTGTGTCGTGGAGGCAGTTTACAAACATAAATTGCACAAAGACAAACATCCAGACCCGGAACAATTATTTGTAGGCCATACAAATCTTGTTCCATGCGGGATTCGAACCCGCGGCCCCCAGCGCAACAACATTGCTAAGCCACTGCGCCACCATGAAGCTAATACAAAGACTAACTTTGTATTTGCTTCATGGTCGCCGGGTTATAGCTAAAGTGACCATACGTCCCGTTTTGAACGGGACTGTCCCTTTTCTCGGTCTCCTGTCCCATTGTCCCCAAACAAAGCTCCGGGACACAAAATTGTCCCGTAACTCGTTGGATGGAAGTATTCAAAGTCAACAATCTTCAACATAATTTTTTTTAATCGAATATATTTTATGTCTACCTGGTACGAATGCTCCGGTAGAAAGAGTATTTTTTTATTTTGCATAAATTGTGGACGTCTGAAAGAAACACTTACGGTTCCAGAGTTCTAAAGGCGATGTTGTTAACAAAGATAACAATAAAAAACTTGAGCAGAATTTTATTCTTATTTAAAATCATCATCAACTTTATTAAAGCAAATTTAATCCACTGACGAATGTAATTAATAATTTAAAAAAAATATGTTGCATTTAATAATTACCGTCTATACCGAATATAATTTTATAGTGAATACTAATTGTATAAAGTTATAGTTTTTAGAGTATAAATAAACCCATGTCCTGTTATGAGTTAAAAAATAAATGGTCAGCTTAGTCTTTTTAGTCAAATTTAGTTTTAAAAATTTTTAGTTTATAGTAAAAAGTAGGTATATTCGTACTTTTTACCGAGTTATAAGTATAGAACACCTTATGTACTCAATTATTTTTTGAAAAAGAAGAAAAAACA